AAAAAAAAAAAAGAAAGAAAGAAAAAAAGGTAAAAAGAAAAAAAGAAAAAAATGACAATAACAACGACAACTACAACTACAGACTATTATTCTTTTTTAAGATACTTTGTAAGTCCACGCATGGAGCTCATTAAACCCCGTAAACTACCACTCCATGATACCTCATTTGCTATTATTATTCCATGTTGACGCTGCAGCAGAACAACATCTTCTGGAGTTGACACTTTCAATTGTTTTACTAATTGAAAGCCAAATCTTTCAATCCACTTCATAGCTATCTTGAGAAACTCGTTAACATCACATGGTGGGTACAACTGTAATAAGGGAAGAAATTCAGATAAAATATTCATCTGTAATAATTCATGACGTTGATAATGTAACATTGCAACAGCAACGTATAAAACGATACTACGCAATTCTTCTCCAAAAGAAAAGAGAAAATCCCATACACGAAAAACATCCGGTACGTTAAATTCTTGTGTGAAGAGAAGTGTAATCCAACGAAAAGCGTAAAATTCAGATTTTACCTGATGTGACTCCAAATGTTCCCAAAGTATGGGATCAATAAATTGAAAAAGTCTTTCAAAATGGTGAATAGTACACATTACCCCAGTATCTTGATCAAAATCTAAACTACGACAAAAGTCATCACCAAGATATGTAAGCATAGTCTGAAAACAAAAGAAAACTTCACTCTCTACACTATCACATACAGCTTCACGCCTTCCACCAGAAAACGCATATAAAAGATGACCAACCAACTCATTCATACCTTGTACATATCCAAGACCTCTGTTAACACCAGCGAGGGTATGTATGATACGTCGTAGACTCTCCTGCGTTGATGAGAACACCATTTGAATACTTGGTACATTTGATTGATCTTCATGGGCGTTAAAGAAGTGCATAGATGGTATTGTGCGGGGAATATCAACATCCACCGCTCTACTACTACTTCCTCCCACTACAACTTTTCCCTGTTCATCAAGTTCACATACAATATGAACAATATCACAATACTCCTTTGTCTTTGCCTCCTGCAATTTTTCCCATCGGGATACTTCAGGGGGTAGAAATCCCATCAACAGTTTCCAAAAAACCGCACGATATTTTTCTGGGGTACCGCGACGACACAATACTGCAACTGAACGTAAACTAATAATGGGACCTGCAAGAACATTTTGGTACACTTCTTCTTCAGATCTTTGAGACGATGCACTTTGAATTGGGAATGAGCCTTCTATTTCATCCTTCACCTTCTCAATTAGTGAGGGAGGTGGGCAATGAGACATCTATAGAAAAGAAAAATAAAAATAAACTACCGTACAAAATAGTGAGATTCTGATAAATCCTGTAGAATACGTGTGTGCTCCTCTGTGAGTGTACCTGTTTACATTAAAAAAAAAAAAAAAAACAGCAAACAAACCGCAGCAACACGTTTAGGTGAAGGAAAAGACATAAGAGAGACAAATAGAAGAAAAAAGAGAGACTAGTAGAGATTCACTGAGAAATAACAAAGAAATATACATTTTTTCTGACCATTTGACACAGTACCAAAAAATAAACATTCTTTTTTCTTTTTTTTTCTTTCGTGTATGTTGCAAAAATAAAAATAAAAGCAAATTTTGCTTTCATCTTGTTTCTTTTTTTTTTTTTCTTTTCTGTTTTGCTAATATTTGGCGTGAGTGTATCTGTAGTCTTGAATCATTTGCAAGTGAACGTCAAAGACACAGTTACAAAACACTGAAAAATACCACAATGCAAATGTGATAATAATTACAATGACAACTTCATTCCACCAATCTTCTTCAAAACTACTGCTACCTAACGCCCCTTTACTTCCCATCCCACCCATTTCTCCTTATTTTTTTTTTCCTCTTTTTCCCCTCTTCTCTTCTCTTTCCATACTCTTCTACATAGTTGCATTGGATAACAACATCAAGTAGCAAGAACCACTACCACAAGAACAACAAAAGAAAAGAAAAGAAAAGAAAAGAAAAAAAAAAGAAGATTTACGGCAAAGGATTGATGGCATCGAGGAATGACAAGACCACACGTGTTGGTGTCATCTGCGTATCAATGATGGGATACACCAGCGCCATGCGTCCATCGGGAAGTGCGACGTACGCGCGGCGGTCGATGCGATCAAATGTCTTTTCGTCCTCGTCTGCGAGGGAACTGCGATAATACGACTGCCGCATGAGAATAGCCGTCGCCGCAACGCCGAACATAAGTTTGGGGGCATGATAGGCAAGGCGGTGCACACGGCTGGTGTACGTTAAAGGGACAAGATAGGACCATAAAGGTCTCTTTACAGTAGAGGCTCTTACCATTTTATTCTTCTTTTTTTTTTCTTTCTTTTCTTTTCTTTCTTCTTTTTGTTTGCTATTAGCTATAGGAAAAAAAAAAAACGACCCAAACAGATATTTATTTATAAATATAAATAAATAAATATCAATAGAAGTATCTACTTCTCTTTGTATTGTTGAGTTTCACACCGTTGTATACTTCCACGATAAAAAAGAGAAAAAAAAACAACAACTCTCTTTCTGTTTTATTTATATATTTTTTTTTTTAGGAGCATGTGTTTGTGTGAGTGTAGTAAGAGAAGAAAAAGAAATAAGTAAAAAAAAAAAAACAATATAATAAGAGAGTAAACAAGTCAACGTTCAAACAAACAAAAAAGAAATATCAAATATCAGTACAACATGGAGTCTATTTCATTGCCTTAATGCAATACAATATGCAATATTGTCCATCGAGTATCTTCTGTGTGATCTTTATACATCCCATAATATTTATATTTATATAAAAATAAAAATAAAACACAGAAAAAAAAAAAGAGCCAGAAGGCTTGTAAACAAGCTTACATACATACATATCTCATTGCAAGATACACAAAATCTCTTCTTCATTTATGCCTTTCGTGCAAAGAACAGCTTGGTTGTATCCCTGTTAGATTCAGGGTCACGAACCGTGTTAGTTGTACGCAGATTCCATCCCTCAGATTCAAGAGACTCAATGATCACGAGGAACACTGCTGACTTGTGTAGATCATCGCAGAAGTGTTGACTTACTTCCATGCGCCAGTGATCGGGATTTGTGTAAAATACAAACTTGCTGGGCTCGCGCGACGGACTTGCGGAGGTGGACATCACACTTGGGATGCGCTGTTCCATGCGCTTCACCGTCTCCTCGCGCAGCGCCGAGCCGAGAATAGAGATAACGGGTGGGTTGAAGGTAGCAGACACGCACAAGTTGGGCATTTTCTTTTTTTTTTCTTTCTTTTTTTATATTATTTGAATGCTCAAGATTGTATTATTTCTTTTTTATTCAAAGAAGATCTTTGTTTGTTTTTTCACTTATTTTCCTTCTCTGTGAGACGTTCTTTTTTATATATATCTATATATATAGATGTGCGTATGCAAATTTATCCTACTTACGTTTATTATTTCAGTGTGCAAAAAAGACAAGGTAGGGGAAATTCACGAGAGCAGTAATAATAATAATAATAATAATAATAATAATAATAATAATAATAATAATAATAATAATAATAATAATAATAATAATAATTCTATTTCACTCAATGCAGGTAGGCTGAGAAGTCAAGTGAGAAGTAAAAACTAAAGAGAGGAACAGAACACACACAAATAAAATAAAAATAAACGCCATTACTTCAGATTAGTAGTCATGAATATCGTATCAGGAGAAAAACTGTAAACGGTGAGAAAGGAAAGTAGAAAAAGAAACAAAAAAAAACTGATAAATAAATTAAAAAAATAGTCTTCGATACAGTAAAAAAAACAACAATACACAGTGAGATAGAGCGATAGAGACACTCTTTAACAGAACGATAATAATAAAACGAACAGAACAACTACTACTAAAAACAGAAAAAAAAAAAGATATTTGTATTTCCTCCTCTTATTATTATTGTATCTACCGTTTAGGTGTCGCATATGGATACGGTGACTTTGCCCGGGGTTTAGTTGCGTGGTACTCAAACAGTCCTCGCAGGGAAGTCTCTGACAAGAGCGGTGTATATGTCTCTTTCCCATTCGTGAGCACAATGGAATCGCCAAGTTGCCGATCACGAGAACTCGTGCTTAATAATGTCTGATCAGAGCGATGTTCATATAAGCGTGGGTGTGTTAGAGTGGACTCTGCCCGAAGTAGAGTTCCCATTAATTTCTTTTGTTGTTGTTTCTTTGCTGTTTGCAAACGAGCCATAGCCCGTTGTTGTCGTTGTTGCATATCCAATTGTCGTTGTGCCTCCATTCTTTTTTGTCGTTCTTCCATTTCTTTTTTACGTTGCAATTGGATTTCACGCTGCACTGCTCGTCGTTCATTTACTTTTGCTGCTTTTATCATGAGAGCTTCTTTTTCTTTTCGCTCCTCTTGAAGTTTTCGCAAAAGTCTTTCATTCTCTTGACGACGAAAAGAAACAATTTCATCCTTTACACGTCGTGTCATTTTTGACTCCATATCATTTAACATCACCTGCACTGCAAGCATTTCATTATAGTCTTCACGTGTTTGCATAATTTGTTCACGGGCCGCTTGATTGCGATATTGACGCCGCGTGAGATCTAATGACTTCTCCCGCGCCTGTCGTTCACGTTCCACACGAGAGCCTTCACTTTTTGAACGCTTGCGAATTAATGAGGCCTGCAGTCGTGCTCGTCGTTCTTCACTTATCTCTTGACTCCGCAGAAGATTTTCATGAACTCTGGAAATATGTTGAGATTGCGCTCGGCTTCTACTACTGTTTAGTTCTTGTTCAATAATACTGTCTAAGTGAGAACGGTGTTTTTCTAATCGTTGTTGAATGTAATCTTCCGTCATTTTCAGTTTTTCAGTTTTATTGGTTTGAAGTGTCGAACGCATATTTCTATCTTGGCGCTGAATAGATGATACCATCATGTCTAGCAAATTTTCTTCTACACTTTCTTGAAAGGTGAGTTGCATTTCCCCTCGTTCACTCCAACATGTTTCTTTAATAAGAGAACGAGCCGCATCTTCTTCTTCCATTAATTCTCTCAATTGTGTATGATATAAACCACCCTTCTGAGAGAGAAAATGATGTTCATCCACAATTCTCTTACGTTGTTTTTCAAGATTCTGTACAGCCTCAGACCACGCCAATACACGTCTCCTCACCATATATGAACAATATTTCATTCGAGCAAAAGCTTGAATAATAATAGCGTGTTGTTCAAGTTTTTCTTTTAACTTTATATATAAATCCATAAGTGAGGCACCATCTAGTAAGAAATCTCCTTCACGTTTTACATAATATTTTAAACCTGAATAATCCAAAATACTAGTAGCTAATTCACTTATAGATGTATTGATTAACTTCTCTGGTGGTAAAAGGGGTTTAAATGTAGAAACAATAAATGTAGGATTACATATAATATATCGGTTAGGTAAGTGACGACGTAATTCCATTGCAGATAAAACTGGAAGTTCTTTCAATTGCATTTCCACATCATCACCTCGAAAATGTGCACCAGTATCAATACCTCCTATCCACCAAAAAACATTTTTTTCATCTTGTAATACATCAAGTAAAGGCTTTAAATGTAGCATCTCTTGTGTAATAATCTGATCTGCGGTACTACTATCTGTTTGTGCAAGAAGATGTAAAGCCTCTTGTGTATCCACATCTGCATTCTCCATAAGAAATGTACGAACATGTTCATAATCTGCATGATATATTGTTTTCAGTTTTGTCATCTCTTCTACACTGGATGGAAACTGATACTGTCGAACCCCAAAAGAGTGTTCCATACTGAGAATGAGAGTACTGGGATTAAACTTTACACGTGTGTGTCTGGCGCATCCTGCGAGTGCCACTTTTATCTTTTCTGTATTTCGTGCGGATTGTGCCACAGAGAGTACACCGCCGAGTCCATACAATACTTTCAATAAACTATAATTATCCAATGAGTCCAGCACAGGTCCTAGTTGTGGTGGTATACAAAGACCCGTTCGCTGCCATTGAATGACTTCCCGATCACTTGAGCGAAGAAAGGCTTGCTGTATATCTTCGTACACGGCAGCAAGAGTAATATTTTCCAAATCGTTAGAAGAAACGGGAGGAAGCTGTGGAATAGAGAGAACTGTAATAGAAGATGGGATTGGTTTTTCCTCAGAATAAAAGTTAAGCGCACTATTTACATGTTTTAACAACATTGTAAAAGTAGTAAGGTATAATAAACGAGCAGCGGCAGTACAAATTTCTCGAGAAGTAAATATACGCAAACATTCATCAAAATCCAATTGGAAAAGACGTGCAACATTCTTAATAGCTGGAAGATTGGAAGCAGAACCATCATCGTAGAAATCAATCTCAGTAAGGTGTACAATCGCTGCCATACGAGTGTAAAGTGCTAATTGAGAAGCGAATGAAATACCAAGATCTTCCATAGCATTAGTAAAAATAATATACTCTTCTCGTAAGTGTGAAATAAGATTGATATCTTGAATACTTGATTGGCATACAAAGTCATTTTGCTTACGATTTATAAAAAAACGTTCCTTTTCTTCACCACTGAATCCATACAATATATAGGAAAATATCCTAAAATTATTTTTATTTGAATCCCCAATACTTGAAGTAAAAAGATGATCACACTCTATTTGAACTCTTTTTAATGCTTCTTCGCTCTCTTTTCCATCTGCAGAGATATGTACTTGAAGATAAGACTTTTGTTGTTGTCCCACCGTACATGTAAAGGCGGAGATGACATTCATTGCAGCTTTAATAACTTTCATTTGTGCAGGTGTGGACTCAAGATGAGAACAACATGATAAAACCAAATCACTGCATAAGTTTGGTTTCGCACGACCGCAGGCAACCACCACTTGTCGTTGTCGCGATCCCTTCCACGCAAGAACAGCCTTCAGTGCCGTATCCACTCTATTATTATTATTATTATTATTATTATTATTATTATTATTATTATTATTATTATTATTATTATAACCATTAATATCTGGAGTAGTGTTGAGATCATTATTGCCGCTGAGCAGAAGTGTGAAGTTATCACCAATGCAAGTGGCGTGAATGCCGTTGGCGGTGCGGCGGCGCAACAACTCGACGAGCGGCGGAAGTCCGACGAGTGGCGACGGCGACATCCGCGCAGCATCACACGGCCGCAGGAACTGCAGTGGGTGTTCATCCATACAAAACAATGATGATAATAATTCCTCTTTTTCTTTTTCTTCTTCTTTCTGTTGATTCTCCTTGTTATTATCATGTGTGTTGTGTGGAATGTAGATATCGTCGGCAGCCACAGTTATTTCAGTGGCACCATCGCGAACACGAATGATGGAACCTTCGAGTGAATCCGCAACGCCCACACGCCAGCCGTCGCCTAAACTGCGGTAGAATACAAACGCCATTTAAACAGCAGAGATTGAAGTAATACAAACAAACAGGTGAGGTCGATAATAATAGAACTAATACTTTTTTTTTTTAATGAATAATAATATCAACAAATATATACTTCTTCTTGGTATTTTTTTTTGTTCGTTATTATTAGATATACGTCAATGTTTGTGTGTGTGTGTGTATATATGGAAGTTATACAACTATACACACCCCTTGTGTAAGTTTGGCTTTGTGAGAAAAAGGAGAAATGAAAAAGCGTAAAAAAAAAGGGAAATAAAAATATCATATACATAAATTAACCCATCATCATTATTACTATCACTTCCCATTAATAGTCACAATAGAGCAGTTTTAGTTAACAATAAAAATTGTATACAACATATAATCATAAATGGACATTATTCTCCTAAATAATGTTGCTGTTAATGTTAAGGAGATCGTCACATGAAAAGAAAAAAAAAAAAAAACATCTAGAAAACAATAACAATAATAGTAATAATAATAAGAATACAAATAATAAGTGGATACACGTACACATAGAGATATGTATATACAGATATATATATATATATATATTTTTATATGTATATATGCAGTAAAGGTTAAGGTAGAAATAATCCACCTAGAACCCCACCTACAAAGGCCATCTTTAAAACAGCAGATTCTCTAACTTTGCTAAACACTGAATGGACAACATGAATTTCTGGTGTTCGCCTTCCCAATACCCATACATCAGATAACAGTTTTCGCCAGCGAACATCAGCGTAACCGAGAACACTTAATAACTGTATCATTACCACCCCACTCCCCATAAAACGGATAAGGGATCCTAAACTTTGTTTAACAAATCCAGCAAGAACAGCACCACCAAGTGCACTAGCAGCCACTCCACTATAGAAACGCACAATTCGTCTCTGTGATTCGGTACTTGGCATCACCAATATTTCCTCTTCTTCCTCCTCCTCTATTTCATACTCCTTTTCATATTTCTGTGGTAACACGACCTTCTCTAATGTGCATCGAATAGGATCCCTCTCGCTGATATCATCACTAGATGGAATTTGAATCTTTGGTGATGGCATCTCATGACTTTGACTTCGCGAAACAGAATGTCGTCGCCCCGTTAACTCGCTTGCATCTACACGGCGTACTTCTGCCAAATCGCCAAAGAAGGCTCGTTTAATATGAGTGAAACCCGTACCGGTCTGAGGAACGGAAACGGAGGAGCTGGAGCGAGTATTAGATTCCCATCTCTCTACGGAAACTGGAGACGGCTCCATTTTTTTTTTTTTTTTTTGTTCCTTTGCTACAAAATAAAGAAATAAATTTAAAAACAGAAAGAAACAATAATAAAGAAAAAAAAAAAAAAAGGAAAGAAGGAAAAAAGGAAACTGTCAAAAGAGAAACAAATTTCAGAGAAAAAAAATAATAATAAGAATTAGAACACTGATAAAAATAATAATGATAATAATAATAAAAGGTATTTGGTGGGGAAAGGTGAGAGAAAGAGGAAGCAAACCAATTGGAGAATGATTCCAACAAAGGTAAAGTCATATCCACGTCTGTAGAGGACCCAAGTATATATATGAGGGTAAAGAAAAAGAAAAAAAAATCCAAAACGCAAGGTATTGCAATTTCAAAATTTAATTTAACCAACACTTATTAGATTGTCTTATTTCACCAGTTGATAAATCTCGAATGTGTAGTTCAAATTCAGAATGTTTTTCATTATAACAAACACCATGAACAACGCAGTCATCATTAACTACTTGTCCTACTTTAACTCCAAATAATCCTTCATTTAACCATGTGGTTACATCATACTTTCCATCAAGGGTAGGATTTAAATATCGTACAGGATCCTCAGCAGTAAGAAGAACTGAATTTGTAGTTGGACCATTGTATTCTAATTTAACATCACCTACAGGAATAGTTTGACATCCATTAAACATAGGCGCTAAACAAGCAGCAGGAGCCCCAGAAGGATTCCAAAAAGGTACAGGACAACCAAAACTTTCATCTAAGGCAACACCAATCATAACTGCAACACCATAACGACAAAGCATCTTTGTTCCATGTTTTATATGACTACCAAATAATGTACAAACCTCTGGTGTAATATCTAAATACCGCTTAGAGGCATGATTAGCCCCACAATGATATGGAAATGAGAGTTGAAGTGCTTCTTCATTAATGCGATTACCAATTTTTAATAATGTCTCTGCTCCACGTAAAGACACTAACCGTCTTCGTGTTACGGAAAGTAAATGATCCAATACCTTTTGTTCTCCCATACCTTTTTTCACCGCCTCCGTAGCGCAAAAAAGACTCAGATTAGAAGATTCCTCTGAAGCTACTCTTTCCTTTTTGTGATCGAGGTGAAAAAAATCCCTGTGTCGGCGTAATTCCCCCATAGAAACGGGAAAAGCCCCAGGAAGACCAGGAATATGAACTAATACAGTCTCTTCTCCATATTCAGCACATGATCCTATAAATGACATTGGAATAGAAAATTCTTCACCAACAGAGTAACTGCACTGAAAACTCGCCGTGGGGTTCTCACTTTCATGCAAAAAAGGCACTTTGTTGGTGGATCCAAACAGAAGAGAACGTGCCGCCACCGCCGCATTGGGTTTCACTTCAGTGAGTTGAGGCACTTTTCCCAACGCCCGCAGAAGTGGAAACACTACAGTCATCACCACCCTCTCCTAGTACTTCAGGTGAAATAATACACTTGCCCTTTTATCGTATTCAACCCTTATAACGGAAAGGAATTTAAACTATTAAAGGATACACACACGACAAAAAAAGAATAAATAAATAATAAAATAAAAAAGAAAGATTATAAAAACAATAAAAACAATAATCCATTAATCCATAGTGTACATGAGTAGAAAGAGTACCAGAAACAAATTCACATTGCACGATCAATTTGTATAGCAAAACTCAAATCAAAAACTAACACTAATAAAAACAAGCGTAATTTCAACTTTCCGAAAAAGAAAAAAAAAAAAATCCTCCCTCTCTTTCTATCCCTTTTTTTATTCTCTTTTGCATTTAAAAAATTCGAAAAAGACAATAAAAAAAAAAAAGAAAAACAAAAAAAAATTTTTTTTTATTTTAAGAGGAATTAGCATTTTTTTCTTCTTCATCTTCCCACGGTAGCGCTGCTTCAAAGACTACATCACCATCGGTTTCTTTTTCCTCATCCATGTCATTTTTAGTTGCTACTTCTACATTTCCCTCATCAGAGAGATGTTCCCACCCCTCTGAAAGATTTCCACTGCAAAGATCCGTGTATGCTTCAATCTTTATACGCAACATCTCATTCGTTTCAACAAGTCGAGAAAAGAGAGAGCCATGCTCTACAGAAAGTTCACTATCATTAAGTTTTTCCTGTTCTGCCGCTAAATCTCCCATTAAACGACTTAGTTTTGTCTTGTGATATTTGCAACTTTCACAAACAGAATTTCCCAAATCCGTAGTTTCACGTTTTTTAATAAGTTTCGACAGTAACTGAAGGTTCCCACATGCGAGTTCAATTTCATGATTGACATTATTAACCTGTTCTTGTATCCAATGCTTTAAGGCTCTCTTGGACTGTACCTCATCTCGCAATTTTTTCCAATACTCTGTATTGTTTGGTACACCAATGTTCTTCTTACGCTGAGTCCCTGTTTTGTCAACTGGATCCGGTTCAGTTGATACAATTTCAACTAAATCTAATAACTGATCCGTGTTACGACACATGTGATAAAGGTGAAATCGCCATGAGAGATTTACCCAATAATCTTCATCTCCAACAAGACGAGGAACCAATGATGATCGAAACTCCATTTTTTCTGAAGAAGATAATATCCATTCCACTACCTCCTTTGATGGTTTACAAGCATCTACTTCCGCAGGGGTTGGAAGATTAGCAATTGAATTTATCTTTAAACATTTACAAATCTTTGATGCGATTTCTTTATTCTCAATTATTCTACTAGGAGGAATAATACAGGTATTCTCCTCCATTAAAACAGATTCCGCTATCATTTGCCATTCTTCTACTGGTGATTCCCATTCAGATGGTGGTATAGTAAGAAGTTGTTTTGTAACACAACATGTTTCATCTTGTTTTTTTCGTTCTTTTTCTTTCGTTTTCTCTTTTTCTTCACTCTTTACTTCAGATGAAGTTTCCTGCGTTGTTTCAGTAACTTCCTTATTATCAAGTCCAGTACTCTTTTCTTCATCATTATATCCCTCTTCAAGATCCAGTACTCCCGTCTGCTTTACAAACTCCAATCCCTCATCTGTGAGTTTCTTCGCCTGCTCTGTGGCTGTCTGCACCAGTGAAGTGAGTACACCAAACATAAATGACAAGAATGAAATGAAATAAAATAAAAACCCTCTTCAACAACAGTAATGTGAAATCATATAACATCAGAAAGAGAAAGATAGAGAGAGAAAAGAAAGAAAAAAAAAAAAAGAGAGAGAAGTTTAATTAAAACCAGAAAAACAATAACAAACAAAAAAAAAAATCAATGAAAAAGAACGGGAGTCCGCAAATCGAATTTGAGTGATGACACCATGACTAAGCAGCAAAAAGCATGAGAAAAAAATATTCTTTTCTTTTTCTCCTTCATTCCCTCAATTTTACCCACATAAGAACAAAAAAAAAAAAAAAAAAAAAAAAAAAAAACGGAGAATCCATTTTCAGACTAGTCAAAGGAGAACACAAATACCTAAAAACTATATTTTTTTACTCAATGAAATACAGTAAAGCAAAGATTATTTACTCATACAATAAATTTGGCCCCCAAAAAGAATCCCGCTGTGAATGCAGCAATATCACTTAAACCGCTTCCGGCAAACTTAATGAAGCGTTTCAGGATTATATTCAAATCTTTCTGATCAATTTTGCCATCACCGTTCTGATCCACTACATTCGTAATATCTTGCTCAACTCTTTTCCAGTTGATCTGAATATATCCCATGTAGCTTAAACTCTGCAGCCCAATAACTGCGAGACCAGCTCCGTAAAGTGCGTCCGATGTGAGTCGACGTGATGCCACTCCCACTGCCGCACCCAACACTCCGCTTACACCAATGGTTGATAATAAACCAGGTGCCGTTTTAAGCTTTGGTACCTCAGCATATATTTTTCCATCACCATCAACAGGTTTATTGCTGCTCTTCATGGCTTCCTTGACAGATGCTGATTTCTGGCTCATCTTCTGTGAAAATTATAGCGATAGTTTCCTCTGATATCCTTTGTTTTTTTTTTTTTTTTCGCCTCTTTGTTTCTCCTTCTTCTTGTTTTATAGTGGTTCACAAATTTGCCGTTTTTTTTTTTTTTTTAATATCTAATATATTTATATTTGCAATTATGTATGTGTATATATACCTATATAGAATTAGGGAGAAGTAACAAGAAATAAATAAATAAATAAATACATAAGAATTCATCAGAATATATACATCTTCCAGAAAGTTTAATGTAATATCTATAGATGATATTTATCATATATATATGTACGTATATGTATATATGTATACAAGGGTATGAACAACAACAACAACAAATAAAACAATACCGATTCGTATTATGTGAGCAGTGGTAAGGAGCACCTCAAAGAGATGTAATTCAAAGGGGGAAAAAAAAATAACAAGAAAGGGAGAAAAAAAAAGCAGAGAGATAAAGAGATAGTTTCTTAACGTTGACGTTCTTCCACTCTAGAAGAAAGCAAATCAACAACTATAGTTCTCTTCTTTATTCTTGTCTTTTTTTTCTTTTCTTGTCCTTTGAGCACCTCTAAAAACCCTCCGGATTTTAGGTAGATTGTTGTTGAAGATACTTCAGTGCGATGGCTCTTGCTGTTACACCAAGATTCCGAGTAGCACTGCGCACGACGAGGCGGTCTTGTGGTGTTCGTTGAGTCAACGGAAGATGTCGCAGGTGCTCCAGCGAGAGCTGCCAGTTTCCAGAGAGTGCGGCGGCCCACACACCAAGCCGTTGACTGTGATTATCCTTTGGTAGTCCACACGCCGTCATTTCGTCAAGTACCGCGATGGCCTCCTTCCATCGACCCGCACCCACGCAGGCCTTTACTGCCAGACGGTGTGCCAATGGTGGGAGGACCACTCTTGGCTCCTCCCCACGTGTTCGCTCGAGTAACTGTACGGTTTCTTTCCATCGATTAGCGGCAACACAGGCTTGTAAGGCTGCACAAACAGAAAGAGGATGTGGTCTTTGATTTGCATCTGCAAAGGATTCTTGCAGAGCTCGTATTGCAATCTCCCATCTACCTCCCTTAGCACAGGCAAATAAAAATGAAAGATTCGTACGTACAGGCAAGTATGTATGCGTTTCAAGAAGGATATTACCAATCCGAACTGCCGCCTCCCACTGACCTGACTGTTCGCATAATTCTAAAAGTTCACTCATCCCAGTTGTTGCAGATGCTTCATCTGCTTTTGTCATCCATGAAAGTGCTGATAATGCTTTTTCCCATTGTTTAACCGCATGAAAAGATCGAATAAGTTTTTGATATGAATCTCCAGCTATGCTAGAAACAAAACCTTCTGCTAGGGCTGTATCATATACTTTAGTCGCCATTAACCACGCATTAGCTTCTTCACATTGTCCTAACAAAAGACTTACCATAGATTTATCAGGTTTAACCCCTATACCAACAGCAATATTAAACACCGAAAGAGATGCTTTCCAATCCTGTGAGACTGACATAACATCCTTAAAAAAATTCAAATCTGAGGGGCAAAAATTTGCTTCTTCCTTCGTTTTAGTAATTACCCCAAGCATATAAAGACATGTTTGCCACTGTTTCAACTGCGCTGTTCGTTGAACAAGAGACCCCACAAACACTGGATCTACTAAAGACCCTCGTGCTATTCCAGTAGTGAACAGTTCTATTGCTCTTTCCCATTCCCCACTAGCAGAAAGATGAGGAATCAACACTCCTAAGGAATACCATTCTCCCATTTGATAATGGCGTTCCATAGTTTCGGCTACAGCTAAGGCAGAGAGCCAACTTCCATATTTCCCCGCTAGTATTTGTGTGGCATGCGGCACATCCAAAGTCCAACTCTTTTTTGTACAGTAATCAAGAATGGAATTACAGTTTCCAGGTGAGAGTAGGGATGAAATAAAGGCAGGAGACGGAGGACTTCGTAGTGATTCAGAAAAATAAAGCGCACTCTGCCAATCGCCAAGGCGCTGAGAAGCGTTACATAAAACTGCCACAGACGTAGGACGCACAAGAGATGCATTATCTGCCAAACAGACTTTACCTAATGTAATAACATCACTTACAAGACCTTGTCCAGCATCTTGTAAATGATGAATAACACCTTCATCTACTGTCTCACTGAGTATTCGGCGTAGTACACCACAACAGGCATTAATATCCCCTCCCAAAACTTCCGTGGCTAGCAGCCGCGCAAGTCCTCCTTTTCCCATATACTCTTATCAAAAAAAAAAAAAAGATTAAAAAGAAAAGAAAAAAGAAAAATTGTACAAGATGGAATAATATATCCAAACCACAGAAACAATACAAGTTTTATCAGTTCCATCTCTTTCCTTTTATTGTTACTCATCTTTTTTTTTTGTTTGTTTGTTTCCTCTCTCCCTCTTTCTTTCTTTCTTTCTTTTTCTTCACACTCAAAGGTAGGTCATGATTAATCATTCTTTAGAATAATGTTTATGTCCCATACCTTTCTTTCTTTTTCTTTCCGTTTCGCCCTCTTCTCGTAATGTATAAAAACCATATGTTCTAAACAACAACAACAACAACTAAATAATAATAATAATAATAATAATAATAATAATAGCAGCAATAACAATAAAATTGTAATACAAACCTCTCTCAATTACTTTTGCTGCTAAGCTGCTGCATCCTCTACTACCTTCTTCTTATCATCACCTTCCGCATTTTCTACATGTAGTTCCTCTGAGGTTAAGTTAGGCACAGCTATCTTGTATCCCTCTTCAACTCGTTTAAGTACGGCATCTGTGTTAACTTCATACATATTTCCTACCTCGTCCACAAAATGACGTACAGTACGAATGAGTGTATCCTTAAGAAGATTATCCTCTTCACCTAATGACAAGTCTGCCCAAAAAGAATCTACGAGAACAGAGGCGGCTAAATCTTCCGCAGCTCGGGCACCCATCAATGGAAATAAACGCAAAAGTGGGATCACTACATCACTTCTCCATGACTGACGCGCCAATTCAGGAGAAGTATATAAATATTGTGAACGAAATTTAGTAGCAGGAAATAGATTTTGTTGTTTACAAACAGAGACTGCCAATTCTTGAGGCATAGTAGTTTCAAGAGAGTTAGGGTCTAATCCAGTATGTCTTGCCCAATACATAGAGATATCTTTTAAAAATGAAGGATGAGTAGCAAATTTACGGTAAATATGACCCCAAAGTGCCCGTTTGAAGTAATTTTCTGTGTTAACCTTGCTTATACGTTCTCCATAAAATCGAAAGTAAGCTGTAACATCACAAGGACGCATCTTCTCAACAGATCCCACCCTAACATAATCATTTGGAATAATACGGTTAAATAGTTTTGCCTCTTTTTTGTCTAGAGTGCTCCTGGCATCTGCTGCCATCATTCTTTGGGTGAGATCTTTTGCCTTTGCCTCAACGAGATCGCGTGGGAGGAATGCACGTGCCTGCATTTCCGCCTCTGGTCCTCCTGCGGCGTCCTCCTCTGCGAGACGCATCATGCAGGCGTAATCGTGCGGTTCGAGCGGGGCGGCGGGGTCCAATTCGCGGCGTCCGGGCCCGCCTGTTGCCGCCTTCACAGCCCGCAGCCGTTGGGCCTCGTGGCGGTGGCGGGGGGCGGCGGCCGCGTTGCCGGCGCGGAGGCACTCGAGAAGCGCCGGGGGTGCCACGACTGCGGCCCGCCCGCCGTCCAGCAGCCCGAACTGCCGCTCCACCGCCGCCGCGTGCAGCTCCCGGCGGACGTAGTAGACGTGTGAGTAGCGCAGCAGCAGCTCGAGGTCGCAGGAGGCCAAGTCGATCTCGAGGAACTCACTCGCCTGCTCCTTCACCCGCCGCCGGCTCCCATACCACGCGTACACCGGCTGCAGCTGCCGCAGGAAACGCTCCTCCACCGCCAGCGAAGGGAGCGTGCCAAGAAAAACACGAAATGGCGTCACTGCAAGGTCCCCACAGAGACCAGGACAAATGACCATCTCACTGTGCCGCACTAATAACGTCAAATGGAACCCAATATTACACGCATACCACAAGGTGCAGAAAGAAAAAAAAAAAAAGAAAAACATAAACTAGCAAACGAGGTTCAGAAATAAACAAATAAAGAATAAAAATCTTTACAAGAGATGACAACATGATAAAATGGAATAACTTCTTCTAAAAACGTTCATAGTGACAGCCTCTCCCTTTCTTTCTTTCTTTCTTTCTTCCTTATTTTTTTTTTTTTGCATAAACCCTTTTTTTCCATTTATTTTATGGAATAAACATAATAATGACAACAACAATAATAAAAAAGAAAGACAAAAAAAAAAATCACTACTATTACTAGTACTACTATTGCGTATCTCCACTAGAGAGTATGTGTTTCTTTTTTTTTCTTCTTTGATAAAATTATGTATACCATGACTACCCAATGATTTTTAAAAGATTTTATTTTGCCTTCCTTTCTTTCTTTCCTTTTGTTTCTGACGCTGAGAATGCTGAGAGAATAGAGATAAGTTTCATTACACTGGTCATTGCCGGCAGCAGCCGTCCATAAATAACTACTGACAGACACTCCATAAAAGAGAATGCCGCTTCTGTAATTGGATACTGCAGAACAGGTGGTATGGTTGTTTTAACACCGGGAATGCGATCCACCGTCGAGGCGCGTGCGACACAATTCCCACGTAAACCTTCTCTTCCTGCAAAGCGATCAAATCCACTTATTTTTACACCACCAAATGGTAAAGATTGACAAAGATAGTTAATACCAAAGTCATTTATATTTGTCATACCTGTCTTTAGTTGATCTGCAATTCGTCTGGCTCGTGTGATATCCCTAGAGAAAACACTGGATCCAAGACCATAATCACAAGCATTTACCATATCCACCGCCTCTTCGTCAGTTTTAAACTTCATTACAATAAGTACAGGACCAAATACTTCTTCCTTGGCAATTGGCATTGTTGGAGTAACGTTAATAAGAATTGTAGGAGGAAAAAAGTTATGATTTACTTTTCCACCACAAACAAGAGTAGCACCAGCACGAACAGATTCATCAATAATACTTTGAATCTTTTTAGCAGATGCTTCTCCCATTGTCATAGCTCCCATATCATATAAACCTTGAGATGCTGGACCTTGCGTTAAATTACATACCAAGCTTTTTAATTTTTCTACAATATGATCATGAATAGATTCTTGAACCAGAACTCTTTCCAAACCAACACAATTCTGTCCACAATTTTGATAAGTTCCACGCATAACAATTGGTACTACTTGCTCCAAATCGGCATCATCACATATTACGGCAGGATCTTTTCCACCAAGTTCCAATACAACTGGAGTAAGAGTTGCAGCAGCGTTGCGCATAATAATTTTACCAACACCAGGAGATCCAATAAAAGTTAACTTATCCACTGAACTTACAAGAGCTTCTCCTGTTTCTGCAAAACCAGTAACAAAAGTAACAAGATCTTGAGATTGTCCGAGTTGTTTTAATCCTTCTCGGACTATTGATTGATAATAAGAGGCATAGAAAGAAGAATATTCAGAAACTTTACCTACAAAGGCATTACCTGCAAAAAGAGCTGATATCATTGGACCATAAATATTATGAAATGGATAATTCCATGATACAATAGCACCAATTACACCAAAAGGAACATATTTTACAGAAGCCCGTTTATGAATTGTCATGAGACCCACATCACGTACTTCTTCTGCCAATAAATCTTCTCCTTGAGAAGCTGTCCAGCGAAGTTTTTCCAGTGTTGTGAGCATTTCACCCAATGATCCATCCATCATAGTCTTTCCACATTCCACACATGCAGTTTTACAAATAAATGATTGATGCTCTAATATGTAATCCATAAGACTGAAAAGTAATTTTCGTCTCAGTGAAAAAGATGTTTTTGCCCATGTTTTCTGTGCTACTCGTGCACGAGCAACAGTTGCACGAACATCTTCAGGAGTTGTAACATTTACAAGACCAATAGGGGCGTTTATTCCCTTATCATAACATTGAATGGTACCTGCAGGTCCTGAATGTGGACTTAGAGTTTCATTTGCGGGTTTAAAATCAAACTTTATCTGTGGAAGTGGTACCACAATCTTTGGAGCGGTGTAGCGTTCCACTGTGTGCTGAATCGTAATGAGCACTGCACGTAATAAACCAAACTTCCACTCGAATAAAATAAAGAGAATGAGATAGTAGAACATTATGGTGGGAGAATCAAATACTATAATTCCTAACTATAGATATATTTATATATAATTTTTTTTTTCCTTTCCTTTTATGAACAATCCTCCTTCAATTATGAAGAGAGAGAGAGAAAAAATAGTAAGGAAAATAGAATGTGTTTTTTTGATCCTTTTCTTTGTAAGTGTTGCTTTATATGTCTTTTTTTTTTTTTTTTCAAACTTGTTCGCGCCGAATCAATTAGAGTACACAAAAAAAAAGAAAAATTGGAATAGTTACCAAATCAGAATAACAGATGCGATAATGATAATAACAACATCTGTTCTACAACAACTACAACAACCAAAAGTAAGGAGGAATATAATAATAATAACAATAATAATAATAATAATAATAATAATAATAATAATAAAGATCAACAAGAACAACAACAATCAAATCACAGAAAGTTTATATATATATATATATATATATATATATTTATTTATAAGTGAAAAGAGATAAGGGAAATACACATTTTCGTTTCTCAACACGCTAGTTTCCCACAACACACCAAAAACAAAGAAAAAAAAAAAAAAGAAACACCACATGGTGCAAAAAAAGAATCGCAATATTTCATATCAGCATCGGCTGAAATATTATTTGAGGTAATCTTCTCTTTCCCCTTCTTCTCGCAGATTATTATTTTTGCCTCCTATTCCTCTCCTCTATTGATTATTTCTTTTTTCTTTTCCCTCCTTTCTCTTTCACACATCAAAGAGGAACAAAAAAAAAAAAAAAGAATAAAACCAACAAAGGAAAAGAGAAAACACAAAAAGAAAACAAAAGGCCCAAAAGAAAGAGCACAACAAATACAGCAGTGTGTTAACTCTCCAACACCATCAGCAAACCCAACTAAATCGGTAACGTGAGAAAAGGGAGACAAAAAAAATGTAAGAAAGAAAAAAAAAGAAAAAAAGTGAATCGTGAAAATAACTATATGCTCAAGGAGGGGGAAAGAGAATTCTTTTTTTTTTTTTTTTTCAGGTAGTGGAGGGAGTAACAATAATAGTAGTAAAGAGTACAATTCGAAGACCAATTGACATTGTCTTCCTTATTTTGTCTGTCCGTGTGTATACACAGACAGAGTGGCACATGATTAGCCCTTCTTTTTTGTCAGGTATATATATATATATATATATAATATAATATGTATATAATATATGTGGGGGGTATTGTTCTTAATTCTCTTCCAAATCTCCCTTCTGCTGATAATATGCTACCTCTGCCCACATAAATCGACGCAGTTGAGCCTCTGATATCTCTGCATGTAGATCAAAGGAAAGATCCATTTTTGGAATTGGTTTACAGTTTTGTATACCTGGACCCCCAACAGAAGCAAAGAATGGGTGTTCTAGTGCCTCTTGTGCCGTTAATCGTTTCGCTGGTTCAAACACGAGAAGTTTGTTTACCAGATCAAGACCATCAGGAGGTAATGCTTTAAGCTCCTGTTCAAGCGGTCTTGTATTTTTATATTTCTTCACATTCTCATTCACAAAGGACAATGCATTCCCATTACTCTCTATAAATTCTGTTCCTGTTACAGGAACGCTAGATAATACCAATTGCATTTGGTGAACGTAATCACGGCCTCCGAATAAGGGACGCCCTATAACATATTCAGCGATAATACAACCAATCGCCCAAAGATCAACGGGAAAACTGTATCGACACATCATTAAAAGTTCCGGTGGACGATACCAGCGAGTCACAACATAATCCGTGAGATCAAGTGGTTCATTCATTTCGGATATACCTGCCCGTGCGAGACCAAAATCACACACCACGGCATTATAATTATCAGATTCCCCACCTAATAATATATTGCTTGGTTTTAGATCTCTATGAATAATTCCTAGTCTGTGCATATCCGACACACATCGAATAACCGATACCATAACTCGTTTTAGAGAATCTATGGATGTATTTCGTGTACGTTGAATAACTACATGCAGATCAGTATTATAAAGATCTGTAACTATGTATAAATCACGAAAATCTGCAACACCATCTCTAGGTGGAACCACTCGTAAAAGGTTCAACATATTACGACATCCACTCTTTCTCAAAATACGGTGAATGACTATCTCTCGCCAAATTCGACGACCATCGGTTAAATCATCAAAAAGACCACCGACTCGTTTGATAGCCACATCCCGAAATGTAGTGTTGTCGATTGCGGCACACACCACACCATAGGCTCCAGACCCCGCGACAGAGGTGAGAGTGTATCGGTCTTCCACCTCAAACATCTGTCCACGCACGCGGTAAGTTTTCCAACCCCGCTGTGTGCATACTAATTGCACAGCGTTGCTTGAAGAACTATCCCCTGATCCCGCCATTAGGTGTCTATCCAAAAGTTTACGTACGTCTACGTTAATTTCTTTTTTTTTTTTTTTTTTTTTTTTTTTTTTTTTTTTTTTTTTTTTTTTTTTTATGTTGTGTGTGTAGACCAAAAATTACAGTTATTAAGCTATTTAAATGGTATATATATATATATATATATATATATATACACTTACCTTTATTGCTGTGGAATCAGGGGCACACATGGAATCGAAGAAAAAAAAAAAAAGGAGAAAAAAAAAA